TTGTCAGTCGGTGCGAATAGCGAAGTACGAGATGCGAACCCGGAAAGCCGTCTACCTCTAACGAGAGACGGGGATATTCGAGACTTGGGAATTGTCATTAACGAGATCTTCAAACCGACGCCTCAGTGTCTGACAGCTGCAGCCAAAGGGCGCTCCATCAGCTTATGNGCCACATCTAGAGTACTGAGTTCAGTCCTTTGCGCCTTACTTAGTGAAAGACCTCAAGGTCCTGCAAACGGTACAACGGAGGTTGATGAGGGCCAAAGACGGTATAAGGGGTCTTTATTATAGCGAGAGGCCCAGGAGGTTAAACCTGTTCTCCCCCAAGAGAGGACGAATGCGAGGGGACCTCATAGAGGTTTTCAAGCAGCTGACCGTCGCTTCGGTAACAGATAAACCTATACCACAGCACCAAGCCTAGGGGCAACGGGTGCTAACTGGAAAAGCCCAGGGCAACAAGGAGTATTCGAGCACAGTTCTTTTCCCATCGGGTGATCAATGCGTGGAACCGGTTACCGCAGCAAGTGGTCGCGACTCGTAACGTTGGGGCTGATCGGGTACTATGTTTGCGTTCAATCAGTGTTGAGGTCCCGGGTTCACGATCCTCAGTTGGGTTACAATGAATTCACTCACAGCTGATGAGGCCCAACCGGGTCGAAACAGCTGTCCAGTGCTTCCCAGCTTTTCAGTTCACGCCGAATTCATCATATTAATAAATCAAATCCTTCATTCATTCGTTCTCCCTGTTGCTACATTTTATCATTGTTTTTTGTGTTGGAACCATGTTCATCCTCAAGCAGGCGATAAATATCGTATATCGTTGCAAAGCAGTTTAACCTTTACGTTACTAATTCCCTTAGCGAGATATGTGAACTTCGTGGACATGATTTTCTTGACTATTCTTGGAGATATCAATAAATGTGTCGTCCTCAATAGCACTGAGTTTATCCGGAAAGGGTGCCTCCACAGTGTGCCTTATTGATCGCAACAACAATAAAACAACCTGCCTCATCAAAGCAAACCAACCGTTAGGCGACCAGCAAAAGTAAATGTCTCTTTCGAACTAAACAAAGTATACCGCTGGCTTCTGTTCTTCACCGGACCCAGAAGTAAATGTGTTGACTGCATAACGGTGCCGAAAAGTAAAATCAAGTAAAAAAAATAAAATTTATATAAAGCGCACTGGAATAACTTTCTTGCAATTGGGCAAACCGCCGTGTTCATTTAAAACGATGAACCACAGCCTCATACCCCAGGCGTCCATACAAATGATTCCCGTTCGTAACTACTGCAATGCGCAAACACAAAGGTCGTGTTTTTATCACTGGCGCCAACACACTGTGAAGTTACACACTAACGGTCGCGAAATTCCTGTGTCTTGATCATAAACGGTCACCTGAAAAAAATCCTATCGTCATCTCCCCCCTTGAGCTCTGCTTGTCGTCTGGTAGCAAAAGGAATGCTTCATCTCTGCAACCNGAATTCCAAAACCTTTTCTGTATTCAACCGTGATTCCCCAAGTTTTATATAGCTATTGTGCTGTTAGTGTTACTTGAACGCTGTGTTCTACTCATGATTCCGCGTGAATCTAATCTTCTCGGATGATTATTATTTCAAAAGGGGTATTGTGTGCATTCTAATTTACTTCCAGGTTTATTCGAAACTAATACGATACTGGGCAAAAAAGGTTTCCGTGAATCGACTCGTGCCTATCTAGACGATATACAGTTGGCTGTTTCCCGAATGGGACGTCCGGAGGAGTTTGCCCAACTTGTGATTAATGTGATTGGGAACCCCGTGTTAAATGGCTCCACAGTTCGCCTGGATGCTGCCGGAAGACTGGTTTTTCTGTGAAAATGATTATTGTATTTTTCGAATTAGATTGCATCGGAAATTTTTTCACACCAGTACCACTTATCCGTTCCATTTNGTCCATGTAAAGTGTACATACTGTCCATTGTTTGTATTTCACCTGCGCCGTCACTTTACCCCCACCCGCTCTCATCCTAGGCTATTTCGAGACTTCTTTGCTCGCCGGTCTGTCTTCTTATGAACCGTTACTCCGAAACGTTATCAATCCACACAGGTTGGGCAAACCAGTCGAATTTGCCATGTTGGTCGAAGCCATAATACAGAATCCCATGCTCAACGGTGAAGTAATCCGCCTTGATGCTGGGGCCCGTATGCCGCCGTGATAGCAGACTGTATTTAACAAACTCTGACCCCCCTTCACACTTCACCTCCCCACATACACATCACCGACCAAGTTGTAATTTCCAATTCAATTTTTTCACTCAACGCAAGCCGTAGTCATTATTATTTTTCCAATACAGTCGCTTTTCATGATTTGTTACCTGTTGCACAATATGAGGACGGTTTAGGATGTAGTTGTCGGATATAAAATGACCGCAGTTCACAATGAAATCAACTAACTCCATAGTTCGAAATAGGATTGTATAATCACGTATAGGTGGAAATGATCGTCGTGAGTCCGTGTTGTCGACTGGGNCGACTGGGCCAGCGCTAGGTTAACTTGTCTTGTACTTCTTGCGATGCTCCTGTTGTCACGTTCAGTCCACCCGTGTGGTAATGACATGACATGACCTACTGTACAGTCGAAGTTCACTGGGCCTTTTTGTATCTGATTAAAGCAGACGGAGCGAACTCCATAGTCACGAGGACCTGTTGTTCAGTAGTCGAAACCGGCCACTTAAAGGGGCGAACCAAATAAGACCCCGATAGGTTAAGCGTGTTATTGAACCGGACGACAGCAGAGCTGCCTACCACCAATTTCGGGTGGCAGTGACGGGGCTCGAACTTCGGACCACAACGTCCAAAGCACGCTGGCGGCAGCGACTAAACTACTGCACCACCACGACTGTAAGCAAGGTGTGGTTTCTTGCTCGGATTAGCTGGACAAGCACCAAGTTGAGGCTGAACCATCCGACCGATCGGTCTTGTTATTTTCGGGCCGGCACAGGAGGAAAATAAGGTCTGAATCCGATCCTGTTCAAGTGATCATCGTACAGCGAAATACAGTGAGGCGAACTTCGCTGCTAAACCCGCAATGCTTGCA